AGGTGGATCCGTGAGATCAACTAACGTCAAAGCATGATACAGTCAGAAGCATGGATGAGAGACCGAGGCGAAGAACTCAGGGAAGAAGTAAGGAGAATGTTCCAGGACAATAACGATGCGACACAAACCATGCATTTGATCGATACGATTCAGCTTCTTGGACTCGATTACCACTTCGAGGAGGAACTAACCGAAGCTTTGAAACGAGTCTACGATGCTGATAGCGCCAACGATGGACTGTACGAGGTTTCACTCAGATTCCGACTGCTTAGGGAGAAAGGATACAGCGTGACCTCCGGTACTCTCCTCATCTTCTTTAATGTATGTATAGGGTAGTATTCTATACGTAGTCTTGTTGAACTTGTCAGTAAAGCAGAAGAAAGTGCCTGTTGATACCCTCATTTATTTCGATCATAATAAGAAAGCAAAGACTCTAGGAAGATTTGAATGCGGTCCGATAGGTGCTGCAAACCTCCTCCATGGTGTTTCTGTTTTGAATGAATGAATTAAGTATATGTATACATAGGACCACTTTGGATATCATTTGAAAATTTTAATTAATGTTATTTATTTTTTAAAAAAAGATAAAAACAAAGATAGGTTTCTTTTTCTATAATAAAACAAAGATTAAAAAAAAAATCAGCTAGCAATTGGTGATAGTATCATTTTATTTAGTTCATTTGTTGCTCTATGGATCATAACAGAGGTCTTTAGTTTTTCCTACCACAATAGATGTCATCACTCTATTTATTCAGATGTCTTCGACAAGTTCAAGGATGAGGGAGGGAGCTTCTCAACAACCTTGACTGAGGATGTAAAAGGGCTGCTAAGCTTATACAACGCGGCTTACCTTGGAACTCACGGAGAGACCATACTTGATGAAGCTATTTCTTTCACACGGATTCACCTTACGTCCATGGTTCATGATCTCAACCCACCTATGGCAACGCTAGTGTCTCTTGCCCTCGAGACCCCTCTTCGCAGAAGCATAAAAAGGCTTTTCGCAAGGCATTACATCTCCATCTACCAGGAGGAGCCAACACGAAACGATAAGATCCTAGAGCTCGCAAAGCTGGACTTCCATATACTGCAATCTCTTCATCGTCGAGAGCTCAAGGACGTCTGCATGCAAGTCTTCTTTATACGGCATTTATATTTGCTTACGTTTAGGTTCCAAATTGATGATAATTATTGACAGGTGGTGGAAGGATTTAGCCCTAACCAAAACCCTAAGTTTTGCTCGAGATCGAGTGGTAGAAGCATACTACTGGATACTGGGTGTATACTACGAACCCCTGTTTTCACGTGCACGGGTAATGACTACCAAGATAGTGCTCATTACCTCCATCTTGGATGATATCTATGATGACTATAGCACATTAGAGGAGAGCCAACTACTCACTGATGCCATCCAAAGGTTTGGAGACCTCGCTGCATGTTTGCTGATACTATTAAGCTAAGAAAAAAATGCAGTAGCAATTAAGTTATGCATCACACATATATAGAAACCATGAAAATGTGATTTCTGGGTGCCTTTAGCAATTCGAGATAATCCTTTGCTGAGAATAAATGCTACGTGCAGGTGGGACTTTGAGGCTGTTGATCAGCTCCCGGAGTACTTAAAGGACTTCTTTCTCAAGCTTCTATTCGCTGTTCGAGAATTCGAAACTGAGCTTGCAGCGGAGGAGAAGTTTAGGATATTTTACCTCAAGGAAGCAGTATGTACTTATATCCTTCTTTTATAAGGAAACTCATTAAATAGACTATATATTTATGGATGGCAAGCCTCAGTGTGTATACAATCAAACCTAAATCATGAAAGATGATGACAGTTCACATAGAAAATTTCTTAGACTTGCACCTCTCTCTCTCCTGACGCGTTTCTGCTGTCATATTTGGTTTGGTTTCCTCGTGATCACAGTTGAAGTCTCAAGCTAGAGCTTATTTTGAGGAATCCAGATGGAGGGATGAGAAATATGTGCCCACATTAGAAGAACACCTGGAGGTTTCCAAGATGAGCTCCGCGTATCCCTTGTTTGCTTCTGCCATTTTGGTTGGCATGGGGGAAGTCGCAACCAAGGAAGCATTTGAATGGGTTGCTAGTTTTCCCAAGATCGTCGACGCTTCTGCTGCAATCGGTCGAATCATGAATGACATCACTTCGTATGAGGTAATTAACCCACACGATTTCCCCCATTCTCCACTTCTTTATGGACTTGTGATGTGGTGAACGTCCGAGAGCTAAGCTTTCAAAAGTAATCAACATCGATCGATCTGTATCGAATGCCAAAAGTAAAGAAACATTTCTTCTTTATCGACTTGCACGCAGAGAGAAGGGAAGAGAGAACATGTTGTCTCCACAGTACACTGCTGCATGAAAGAGTATGGAACATCCATAGACGATGCATGCAAGAAGCTCCAAGAAATGGTGGAAGACGCATGGAAGGATATAAACCAAGAGTGCCTCAATCCGACCACATTCCTCGCCCCGCTACTCCAAACGTCACTCTATTTTACACGAATCTTAGAGAACGTGTACAAGTACATCGATGCATACACCGAATCTAACACTACAATGAGAGAGTGCATCTCCTTGTTGCTTGTTCAACCTGTTCCTATATGATCGTGTCATCCATAGTATGAAGCATTTTCCTTTTTGT